GTAGTAATATATATATATATATATATATATATATATATATATATATATATATATGTGTGTGTGTGTGTGTATCGCGATGCGTAAAGATAGCTGGCCGGAGCAGATTATTGCGGATGCACTTGAATTTTTTGCGAAGAAAACGATCGGCCGGGGACCCCCGGGTGGCGGCGAATTATCCCCGCCGCGACGATGCGTTCTCGCTCAGAATTTCGGAATACACGCGGATTTGAGAATGCGATCGGCCGGGATCACCTGAATGGAGGCGGATTGCCCTCACCTCAGCGATTCGCTTGGTTTGTTGGATGGACTGTGAGTAACCGGATGCCGATTTTCCGACGGAGCGAAAAATACTCTAACTCGTGGTCGTTCTTCTCGATTGCGGAAAGCGGAGATCGGGTTAGAAAAGAGAACTTAGCTTTTGCCGGGAATTTCCAGGCAGCGGCGGGATATCATCACATCAGTTTTGTTACGTCTCTTTGTAGAAGCGGAATGCTGGATCAATTCGTGGAAGCGAACGTAATTCGAAGATCTGGCTTGATAGAACGGAGGACGACTTTTTATACCGCCACGATCCGATATTCGGGCGAATTTGGAACGATTCGAATCAGATAGTGAGCGGTAATTAAGCCACTCTAAGCTGCTCTGAGATCAGCGCTTTTTTTCTCGAGGACTTTGAAAAATTCTGGAGATATTCGGATGTTGTTTTTGATCAGCGCGTCTCGTTCTCGGACGTACTCGGCGGTCTTCCGGATTCGGCGGCGCGGTATAGGACGCGTAAATGATATGCACCGCCGTTTCGCAATTAATTACGAGATTAATTTGGAACAGATTAAATTGCGCAAAGCGATGCCTGATGGATCGTTAGTCGGGCACTTGGTGGCGGATGGACAGCCGCGGAACGGTGCGTAAAAATATGCACTGTTACACGTGTAGTCATATAAAGATACACATAAAAATAATAAACACAGAAGTGATCGAGCTTCATAATTTAAAAACTATCACATGAAATTAAAGTTATATTTTAACTTTTTCTAATTTTAATAATTTTTTCATAAATTAATCTATGTCCCTTACCGTCCAATTACCTCTACCATTGATTAAAAAATTGTCTGGAGTTTGTCCACGGTTTCTTCTAAATCGTCCAGGAAATCGCTCCAACGCTAATTCATGAAACCAATCGCTAATAACAATTACATGTTCGGGAACATCTTTATCATATAAAGTTTTATGAGGATTCGTCCTTGGTGGATCACGTACAATAAAAGATCCATATTGTCCATCCATCATTTGTACTGATTCGTGAGAGTGATAAAAATGAGTTCCCGAATTTTTAACTTTAAATTGGTATCTGTATAAGAAAAATTCCATATAAAATTAGTTAAAAAAAGGATTGAAAAAAGAGAAATACAGTAATTAAAATATTTTCAAAATAATACCAGTTTTGTATTATATAAAGTAATTTTTTGTTTTGTAATATTGTTATATTTAAATCTCCAAAAAGGAAAAGTGAATAAATTGTAATAAATAAATTATAAGTTAATAAATTGTAATAAATAAATTATAAGTGAATAAATTGTAATAAATAAATTATAAGTGAATAAATTGTAATAAATAAATTATACCAATATGAAATGCGGAAAATCGATATAGATGCCTTTTTAGGTGCCTTAAAGCATGTGCATTCTAAAGCACAAACTAAGTGGAATGCATTACTTTTATTCTTCAATGTGAGTCAACATCTCGAAAAGACGCTATGATAACACCTTGACAAACATATATTCGATCTGATATATCGATCTGTTTACATATTGTCGCGCTCACGGCCGGCACTCGCACAATCTCGTGGCGAGTGACGAAATAAGTAAGACCGTTTATCAAAGAAAAAGTAAACTTCATTAATTTTAGAAACAGGAATAGGAAATTATCGTGACTGCTCTGCAACTCTGTCAAAACCGAAAAACGCCAAACCACAATATGTCGTCAAGACCACCGAAACATTCATCACGTTGCATCACATCGATAGGGAATGATCTTCTCTTTCTAAAATCGATCTTTGAGGGCAACGATGAGTGGAGCACAGCTCAGTCGTAACACTGCTCCCCTCTCTTTCTCTTAAAAATTATCGTTCCGATAATTCCAGAGAACTTCTCCGCTTGTGAGGTTTCCTCTTCCTCAGCGAAGACGCCAGGGCATCCTATAGCTCTTTGCTTTACCTCAAGTGGTTGTTACAGGTTACCGAGCGCCGTATTTCAGGTCCCAATCTTCCATCCTTTTGGAAGTAATGAGTCGCTGCAGAGAACTATTCCGTCTTTTTTATTTTCTATTCAATTTTGAGCCTTGCATTCTTCTTTCTTGAATCTTCGGATATGGGAGGGAGGGAAGGATTTGCTTTAGTGGACTCTACGTCTTTATGGAAACCACAAATCTCTGTCTCGGCATTCGCCCTATGGTTCAGCGGGAAAACCACGGTCGAAAACTACGGGCAAAGCAATCTTCTTTAAAAAAAATAAAATTAGCCTGATGGTCGGGCAGATCGAAAAGATTCTACTCCCCATTTCCTCACACAAATCATCTTCCGAAAACTTAATAGAAAACAAAAACAAAAGCAGTAACTTTTCAATAGAATGAAAATATGTTTTTTTAATTCAACGTTTCTCTTTCTTCGGGCGGAAAGAACAATCAATTCCCCACAGGCTCTGATGAAAACCACGGCTTAATCAAGATCGCTTTCCTGTAACAGAACTAACTCTAAACGAAACTCGTCTAAATAGATAGGACTTTCCGAATACCCAAAAAAACTTTAAAAATTTCGAATATTTAACACTCTAAATTACTGAATTACCTTCTCATCTAAAACCGAAACATTGGAGATCGTGTGAAATGAACACGAAAAACATATGTACGTCCGCCCAAATCAATCCGCGTTAAAAAGTCATAACAGAATTTACTTACACTTGAAACTGTGCAAATGCAAATTAAAAAAAGATTATATTATGAACGCAAAAAAAATTAATTAACGACTGACCTAGCATTTGGCATCGATATCGAGTCGTCACTCGGCTCGCTCTTCCGTCAAGAGAATGATCGACACTTTCGCAGTCATTCGTACCAGCAGCCGTCCGATTTGTTCAATCCGTTCAATCCGTTCGATCTCTGACGAGCCTCCAAAATGTCACGCTCACAGCAGGCACTCGCACAACCATTCGGCACTTGCACAATGTCGCACTCGCAAAATAAGATCGTTTATCAAAGAGAGAGTGAACTTTATTAACTTAAAAAACAAGAATAAGAAATAATCGCGACTTCTTTGCAGCTCTGTCAAAACCGAAGAACGCCAAACAACAACAATAACATGTCATCAAGGATGTAACGGCAGAGTCTTACTTGTAGGATAAATATATATATATATATATATTGTTGCGGCCGTGCGGTATTCCGTTCGGCGCTGCTAAAAGAAAATCAATATCAATCGATAAGAGTTTGAATAGAGGATCGGCCCTTGGCAACGCGTCGTTCTCCGACTGTTTTACAGATTTGACGGCCGGATTCTGCGGTGGCCGGACGCGTTTCTGTACCGTTGGTTTAATAAAGAGCGAGTTTTTCTTAAAACAGTGTTC